CCCTCCACAGCCCTTCGCTGTGGCAGAAATTCATTTCATGCAGAAAGACGACGAGCGCCCTGCAGAAACCCTGCCGCGTTTAGGCCAAAACGCTCCCCTTTGCACACCAGGGAAGGGCCCGGCTGAGCTGGTAGCTTGAGCTGGCACGACAAGCCGACCAGAGGGAAAAGGGCAATATTATTTTTTGTAATAATTAACATTGTTGTCACTGTCTAGGAGGAAGGAGCTGTGGGAAGCAATCATCTCCATGGTGAAAAGTGCATTTGGTTTGTAAAGCTCTTTGGCTTTGCTGAAATTAATAGGCTAATAATAACCCAGAAAGGGATTTTAATGTTTTCTGTGTGCAAACAGATTCTTAAAATTTTTAATTAAAAAAAACTCTTACTTTTTATATAGTACTTTCACCTATATACAGCTATTGAGCCAGACTTGAGCTTATTGATCAAGAGAGAAGTCTCACAAGGTGCCTCTAAGCATAGAAAGGGGATTCAATGAACATCTTCCCTTAAAAATAACCTCAAAAAAGAAACAGAAAAATCAGAATAAGTTTAGGGCTTGGCTGCTTCTTTCCAAACACTTCCCAGCTGGAAGCGTTTTGTCCCAGCATTGATTTCTGGATCAGTAACGCACTTGTACTTGTGTTCCTGGGCTATCTGCTGCTGAGGCACTTGGGCTTGGGCTTAACTTTTTCCTGGGAACGGGAGGCTTAAAAAACACTCCAGGGCTGACACAAGCCAGCGGAAAATCTCTTCGTTTGTCTGGATCTTGTAGCATGTGTCGAGGCATTGCCAAGTACAATACCACCATCTTTGGTGCAGACCACAGCCAACGGTATCAGTTATGCCCTGCCAGCAGGGAAAACAGCTATTACTTTTAACACTCCGAATGCTCAAGATTGGCACCTTAGAGCTTTCCTACCCGTCCCAGCACATGGGTGAAGAGCAGAGAAGCTCCCCACGCTCTCTGCTGTGCTCCGTGAGCTCTTGGGCAGCTCTGTGCACATGATGGTAAAACCTGCGCTCTGCAAACGGGCCTCAGCTATCCCCAAAACCAACGGGACAAAACAGTTGGCCTTTGCATCAGCTGCTTGCATGGAAGTAATTGCTACACTCACAAGTTTCCCCTTCCCTTTACACCTGCGTTTAACATGCAGTGGCCCTGAGTCAGAGTTCGCTTTGAGCTTAAAACCAAAACAAACCCGAGATGAACAGCCTCCACAGACACGAAGATACAGCACTAAGCCTTTCGCTGCAGCACCTTCCCCTGCCTCTTCTAAGGGTTATTTAGTACATAAGGAAGCACAGCTCTCGCTTCCAGGAAGGCAGAGGAGCGCTCCCATTTCTCCCAGCACCAGCCCAAGCCATGCACCTCCCCGGGGCAGCCACATCCCTGGTGCCGGAGCAGGTCCCTCCACGCGGGGCGTTCGCCGTGCCCAGCCCGCCCTCCTCCGGCGGCTCCAAGAGGAACAGGGGCTGGGAGCAGGACCGGAGCATCTGCAGCCACCTCTGTGCGCCCTGCGCCTGCCTGGGGTGGCATTTCCACCCGCCCCGTCCTCATCTCCCTCCCCAGGTGCAGAAGGTTTTAAAGATGGGCCTGGCAGCGAGGAAAGAGAAAGGAGAATGGGAACAAAGAAGCTTGTCAAGGAAGCCAGAAACTGGAGCTGGGAGATTAAGCTTGGCCCAACACGGAGACAGGAGGCAGCAGGAAGAGGAACAAGAGGACAGAAAAGGGGAGGGAAAAAAAGCCAGCCTGGCCAAGGAAAAGTGAGGCAGGTTGGAGAAACTGGGATGGCAACACTGTGGAGAGGACAGCAAGAAAGGGGCAGTGGGGAGTAGGCAGGGGGGTCTGGAGGGGGTCTCATCAACAGTTTCTTCTCACACGGGCATCAAATCCAGCACCCGCTCTGAGATGAGCTAGAGACAGACCCAGCACAGAGGGCCCATGCGCTGGAGTGGCAGTTCCCAGAGTGGTGCCGTCTTCCCAACCACAGCAGGACTCAGCAAGAGGTAGGAAACTCCAGCATAGCCCATACTCGCATTTAATTGTGAGGACAGGACAGACTGGGGCAGGTGGGTAGCTTGGTGTGGAAGCACAGCTGAAAGAGCAGGCACACCCTGCCCTTGCAAGAGACACACAGGTCATTTTAAGGTGTAACTCTGCTAAAAGCACCAAACCGTAAATAAAAAGAAAAAAATAGAAAACCCAACCGAGAGTTTTATCTGAAACAGATGTTTCTGCATGGTCTCCGAGGGTGGAATCAGACATTGCTGCTGAGGCTGTTTCACATCAGACACAACGCAGGGAATTCACACAGTGCAAGTCAGGTGTTTGACACAGACGTTCAGTTCGAAGCCAGTCTCCCGCTGTGGCAGTGGAGAGAGACTTGCAGAAGACACAGAGATCGTGAAGTTAGAGGCTCTCACAGGCACCGGCCTCTGGAGGAGTTTTCCTCCTAGGAAAGTTGCCTCCCATGTCCACAGCGCAGCAGGAGAGACCCAGGAGCCACTTGTGTTTCTCAGGTGCTGTGTACATCTAAGCAAAGCCAAGCCAGGCCCTTCATTCCCACTCTCCCACCTGCTCTCTGCAAGGAAGAAAGTGCACGAAAAAACAAGGCTGCATCCACAAAAGGTGGCAGGAAGAGACCCAGAGAGGTGTCCACAGCCAGCGGAGCTCGCTCGCATCCTTCACCATGCAGCGAGGCCACAGGGACGCGCGCGGCTGCGCCCAGGCGGGAACAGGAGACGCGGTCCCAGACGAGAGTGTCCCGTCTCCCTGCGAGAGGAAAGGGCTCTCCGAGACAGGACAGGCCTGGGATGTCCCTCCACCTACTGCACAAGCCCGGGACACATTCAAAAGTATGGACAATAAATTAAGATTAGAGAAAAAAAATCAGCGTGTATAATATATATGTGTGTATATATATACACATACATATATATACTTTTATATATATATATACGTATAATGTGCGTGTGATTGTGAAAAATAGAAATGTCCTCCCCAGAGAGAGCAAGCCATGGCAGCAGCACCTCCGTGTCCCTCCCCGGAGCCCAGCACTGTCCTGCTCCCCGTTCATGGGGACGGGGCACACAGAGGGCAGGGCTGCGCCTGGCACCCCGTGTCCCTGCCAGCTGGGACAGGCGCTGGCACCGGGGAGGAGCTTGGTGGAGGAGGAGGGAGGAGAGAGCCCAGCACTGGTCCTTTCATGGCCTGCGCCAGGAAGGGCAGGCAGGAAAAAGGAGGGGGAAGACGGGAAATAAAAAGGAAAAACAACAAAAAGGACTGGCAAGGGCAGCCCATCCCTCCTCGCCTGGCTGGGGCCCTGCCCCTCCCGTGGCACAGGACCACCACCACTGTACCAGTTAGGAAATAAAGCCATAATGAGTGAATGCTTTGGTGTGTAACCGTCCCTTCCCCCGGCACTCCCCCCAGCCCGTTATCTGTAAAACTTGTCAAATGACAATCTCTCGCATGCCTTTAGGTCGCTCCTTGAACCTTTCCTTCCCCAGCGCCTGCCCTGTCCCCACTCTGTCCTGCAGGACATGGGGAGGCGCCTCGTTGGAGCCCCACAGGTCACAGCTTCTGCTGGCCCGACTGGATCCTCTTGAATGCCTCCTGGTCCAGGGGCAGGTAGCGGCCTTGCCGGGAGTCCAGGAAGTACAGCCTGTCCTGCACCAGCGCGGGGTCGAAGCCCTGCTTGCGCAGCTCCACTTTCTGGAATTTGAAAGTGCCTGGAGTGGGGAGAGAAGATGGAGGAAGGAGCTGTCGGCTGCCTGCGCTCCCATCGCCACCCCCTCGCGCTGCTGCTTTGCGCACTGTCCTGCACAGCACGGCTGGGGCAGGGAGCCCAGCTCCCAGTGCCACCCCGATGCCACCCTGGGACACCCAGTGCCAGCCACCACCCCCAGCCTCGCACTCCCTCTTCTCTAGGTCACTGGTGAGACCAGAAGGGCTCTACAAGACATTCTCGCTCCCTCTGTCCCCAGCCCTGCTGCAGACTGGCCACAAGGCACTCGAGCAGCTGTGCCCCCTGCATGCAGCAAGGCCCCACCGCGGCCCACGCCGGGGCTCACTTGTCTTGGAGACTTCGTGCAGGAAGCGCAGGAAGACGGGCTGCGCGGACAGCGGCAGCGCCTTCCTCAGCTCGGCAGCAAAGCTCGCCAGGTCGCAGGAGTTGTCCGGGTCAGCGATGGCTGCCATTCCTGCCTTCCCTTCAATCCCTGTGGGATGGAAAAGAAGGGAGATGCTACAGGGCCAGTGTGTCCCACAGGGTATTCTCTTCATCTGTCCCATGCCAGAAAGGCCCCTGGCAAACACCCGGCTTTGTACTGTAGCGTTGGCATGTCCAGCTGCGTCACCCTCTGTGTCACCACCCTGCGGCTAAGGGTACCAGCGACACCCAGCGGTCATAGTCACCTCCTCCCAGAGGAGACACCTGCAGCCTGCCCGGGAAGGACACAGGGTCCTTGCACCCTGGTCAGAATCAGTCAAACCTCGGCTGGAGAGAAGATTCCCACTAGTCACATCCCCAGCGGTTCCCCCTGGCTTGTAGACACTGAACCTCAGTCCAGCATCTGGCAAAGGGACACAGGGATCTGGGCACGCAGGACACGCTCATTCAGGTGCCCGGGCCCTGCCTGCCTCCAGCCAGCCTCCCCCCCCATGCTGGTTACCTGGGACCTCCACCCCGTAAACCACGACGTCCGTCAAGCTGAGGATGCGGCTCAGTGTCCCCTCCACCTCTGTGGTGGAGACGTTCTCCCCCTTCCAGCGGAACGTGTCCCCAGTGCGGTCCCGAAAGTACATGTAACCGTATTGGTCCATCACCAGAACATCCCCTACGGCAGAGTGAGGAATAGACAAAAAATGGGGTGTCAGAGAGTCCAGAAGTTCCCCCAAAGTGTCTCAGGGCAGCGCCTGGGACAGCTTGAGGTGGGAAAAGGGAGGCTCAAAACCCCCAGCTCTTCTCTGCTCACCAGTTTAGAGGTGGCATCCACATACCCTCTCCTCCCCCCTTAGCAGACACGACAGGGCCCTGCTCGCCTCACCTGTGAGATAAGCAGCATCCCCCTTTGAAAAAACATCCCTGGCAATTTTCTTGTTGGTGGCTGCCTGATTCAGGTAGCCGTCGAAGTGCTGCAAGGGGTTGTTCTTGACAATGCGGCCCACCAGCTGCCCCGGTTCCCCTGCAGGGACAGGAAAGGGCATAAATAGGAGGGAGGAACAAATCAAGCCCAGAGAAAAAGGTTTTGAGGAGGCTTGGTGCTGAGCAGAGACTCATGCTGAACTAAAATACCTTGAAGAATCTAATGAAAGACTCAGACAGGGCTGAGGAGACACAGGAGCTTAGAGCTGGACTCAGTCTCGAAGTCTTTTCCAACCATAATGATTCTATATTCCCCAGTTGCCCTCACCTGGTTTGCAGCGGATGCAGACACCATCTGGTCCCCGGATGAGCTCCATGGTGTCTTCATCCACCCTCACCAAGCCGATGGGGTACACACCTGGCAGGATCCTGCTGTTGAAGCCGCAGGAGCCGACCTAGGACAGAAGGAGCTCTGAGCCACGGGCAGCAGCGATGTCCCTGCAGCCCCAAGCCTGCTGCCCACCCACGTCCAGGACAGAGAGCTGGAATCATGCAAGAACAGCCAAAACCTCTCCAGGAAGACAGGAACCCAGGGGAGGCCTCTTGAGCAAGAAACCAGGAGCAAACAGCCCCACTGAGTCATCATTCCCCTTGCCCAAGCCAGGGGAAACTCTCTAGGGCCCAGGAAGGGTGGTGGGGCCTTACGTTGTTGTCGAAGTTGCCCAGGCTGCAGTTGCACTCGGTGGCCCCGTAGAACTCGGCCACCTGGGCGATGCCGAAGCGGGCCATGAACTCCCGCCAGATGGACGCCCGCAGCCCGTTGCCCAGCGCCATGCGCACCCGGTGCTGCCGCTCTGCCTCCCGGCAAAAAGCGGGAGATCTCCCCGATGTACTGCACGATCTGGGGGCAACAAGCAACAAGGACAAACTAGGACCTTCCTCCAGACCCCAAGGTCTTTTTTGGGGGTGGTCCTGAGGGCAGGGAAGGAACAACTAGCCCAAGGTCCACTAAAGAGGCCAAGGCAAAATCCAGGAGGTCCCGCTAGCTTGTCCCCCATCTATCCCTTCCTGGGACATCCTTCTTCAGTCTCCAGTCTGTAAAACCTACCCCTGCGGTTAATGTTGGAGCATGGGAATGGCTTGGACATGTGGAGTTACCACCCCAGGTGGGAAGGAGATGGCCCCACCACCTGGAAAGGCAGTAGGGGACACAGGCAGAGCTGGTACGGGCTGCCCTTGCTTCCAGCAGGCCACAGAGGTGCCCAGGCTGCTCTGCCAGCCCAGCTGGCTTGGTGGCCTCTTGCCTCATGGCCTCACCGTACAGTTGTATTTCACGCAGTCCTCCCAGAAGTGCGAGGCCGAGAACTTCTTGCGAATGACAACTGTCATGCCATGCAGCAGGCACTGCCCAATCCCCACGATGTTCCCTGCGGAGAAACAGCCAGAGAGACCTTCAGGCTCCACATCCCTCCAGCCCAGTAGGCATGGGGACGGCTTGGCAGGGCGAGGTGGAGGCCTCGTGCCATCCCAAAGCAACAAGGGCTCATCTACCCAAGGCCCCCAGGGCCACAGGGGCTGGAAAGGGGACAGCAAGACCTGCAAGAACCCTTTGCACCCCGTCATCTCAACGTGTCTTGGCCTGCAAGGTGGGCACTACTACGCCACTCCCATCACTTTCCAGACGGAGCAGCAATAAGGCGCAGCCACCCCAAAGCTAAACAAACACACTCCCCACTCCAAGGGCCAGTTTGATCACTCCCAGCTCCCAGAGAAGGTTTCAGATCAGACAGGCAGCCCCCCCAGCAGCATCTGGGCTCTCCCTGGCACAGAGTGTCCCTGCTGCTCCGGCCTGTGCCCTGGGCTCGGCAGGAGGGAAGGGGCAGCCCGTGGAGGCAGCGCCAGGGCCCGTTACCTGCGGCGTGGTAGAGCGGGAGGCAGTCGTACAGCACGTCATCGGGCCTCATGCGGAAACCGTAATAAACCAAGTTGGACATGCGGAAGTACCTGGGGAAGGGACAAAGGGACATGTCAGCAGCAGGGCCGGAGGCTCTAGGCTGGCACTGGGCAGAGCCTGGTCCTCTTCCTCCCCAGAGCCCCCAGCCTCACCTGCAGTTCACTACAATGGCAGCCTTGGGCATCCCCGTGGTGCCGGAGGTGTAGATGTAGAAGAGCTTATCTGGAAAGCCAAGAGGACACAGGTCACATACCCAGCGTCACTATAGCCTATATGGAAGCTGGCTGGACAAGGAGGTGGGAAGGTGGCAAATTTATGCACAGGGGTTGCACCAGGTGAATCAAACACGAGCCCTGAGCACACCGGGTTCATCTTGGGCGGCATCAGACCCATGGGGCAGGGGTTAGGAACCACACGATGCAGCCTCACGGGGAGGGCCAGGAACCGGAGTCAGACCCATCTCCAGTGCCCCAGGCCCGGCAACGCTGGCACCCCAAGCAGGCCCTCCTGGCAGTGAGGACACAGCCAGCAAACTTGGCAACCAGCTGATGCGCCAGCACGAGCGTGCGCCTCGCCCTCCAAAACTGACCACGTACCCAGGAAGCCCTTGTCAGGGGCGGGTGGCTGGAGTCGCTCAGCTCTCTCCAAGAGGGGATCCAGGTGTTTTGCACCGGGAATGACTGATTCGGGCCTTTCTTCACCGGACCAGAAGAGATGGATGGATTTCTCCAGGGAGGGCTGCACTTCCTGCATGGCTAGGAAAGCAAAGGGAGGAGATGGAAAGAGGCCGCAGGGTGGACACAGCACAGAGCTCCTGCCCTTCCAAACTGTCTCAGGGAGACGATGGCCCGGGGAGCACCACCCTCCCTGGGCTCTGTGGTGTCCAAAAGGTGCCACAACCTTCCCAGGCAGATATTGCTCCCCTTGCCTAACAGAAGCCAGGGGCACAGCCCAGGCCTCCCCAGAGGCTGGAAAAGCTTGTTCTTCTGCTCTCCCCAGCCAGAACTTCTCGGATGCCAATTTAGCCAGAAGTCTGTCAACACCATCAACCTCAGAGGTGTGGGCTGAAGCACCTCAGGAGCTGGAGCCAAATTGCTGCTTGCTGAGAGCCGCAAAAACAAGGAGGAGCATCCCACGTAGAACAAGGGGAGGTTCATCCCACATAGCAGCACAGGCCTGGCCCTGCCCTGGGGTCCACGCAGGGAATGGACCCTGGAGAGCCACTATTAGCACAAGGAAAGAGCCTTACACCCGTGCAGATCTGCTTAGGTGGAGCACTGAGCCCCACATCCCACCCATCTCCAGCTGCCACGCAGTGGCCAACCGACCAAAAAAGGGCACCTCTTGGGTATCCCAACTGCCCACTCTCTTTAGGAAAAAAGAGATCTCTGCCCTGTGGTGGAAAGGAGCACTGGACCCACAGCCCTGCTCCCCCATGGCCCTAGCCTGGCTGGTTCCTAAGGCATCTGCCTGCCCTCCTCACCTTCCATCATCTCCACCCCAAAAACCACGGCCTTGGAGCTGGAGATGGTGATGCAGTGCAGCAGGGCCTCCTTGCGCAGGTGGGAGTTCACCAGGGCGGTCTCCACGCCGATCTTGGCCAAGCCGAGCCACATCCCCACGTACTGGTTGCGGGACTCCATGAACAGAGCCACCACGTCTCCGGAGCGGAAGCCTTGTCCACGGAAGAAATTGGCCACGCGGTTGGAGTACTCATCCAGCTGCCGGAAGGTCCAGCTCTCGCCCGTGCCTTGGAAGATCAGCGCTGTCTTCTCCGCATACTTGCTCGCTGTCTTCTGGAAGATCTTGGCGATGGTGTTTCTCTCCTTCACGTGCCTCCATACCTGCAGCTTCACCCGCAGCAGGACCAGCCCCGTGCTGCCAACAGGAGGGAAGCAAGGAGGCAACAGCTCAGTTGTCCCTGCAGAGCTACTTCCAGCAGCACAAAGACCTTGCTAGCAGCGGCAACAGCCCAGCCTGCTCCAGGCCTTGCTCTAGGTCACCAGCAGCTCTGGGTGGTCCCCTGAGCAGTGTGGGCACAGCTGGGGTGGACAAGCCCTCTATAAGGATATTTACAGCCAGGAAGGGATGAGCTTTGAGGGGTTACACAAAGGGACGTCCCCTCTTCCAGAGCCTCAGGTGCTCTCCAAGAGAGGCTGTCCTCCCTCCCAGGCGCACCCTGGCACTGGCTCAGGGCCAGCCCTGCCACACTGTCACACCCGCAGCTTAAGGGACGGGGTGAAGTACAAGGACAGTCACTAGACTTTGGAGCTCAGCTGAAATGTGTCTTTCCTCAGAAAACTTTGCCTGAGGGTTGGAACTACCTGGGCTGGACAGGACGAGATCTCCTTCCAGATGCGCCAGGAGCCAGCAGGGACCCAGGGAGACAGGGGCTGCACTCACACCCCGGGGCAGGGGCCCATCCCAGCCAGAGCACCTACGTGACATCTCTCCATATCGTCTTGAAGAATATGAAGAGGAATTTCCATCCCCCGGATGCTAGGTAGAAGGCAAAGAGCGCAGGAATGACCTGAGCCCAGGACAGCTCCAGGCTGACCCTGAGGAACAGCAGCAGCGCCGCGAGGGCAGCCAGGCGCAGCATCGTGGCCTGCAGAGAGAGAAACCTCAGATTGAGACCACTCGCACTGACCCTGTTGTGACAAACCCACAGGGCAGGGGACGCACTGGCAGCCCCCGTTTTCCTGGGAGAGGCCCTGGAGTCACCGCTCATCCTCTCATGAGGATTCAGCTCTTTACAGTAGCTGGAGCACGGTCAGGGCGAGGGACCCTGTGCAGATGTTTAGAAGGCACCAGGGAGACACCAAACAGGGCAAGCTCAGCTGGAAAGCTCAGGTCATTCTGGGAAAACCCAGCTCCAAACTCCTTGCCCCAAGGATCCCTCTGCCCCCTAACCCAGTTCTCCCAGGCCCTCTGCAGCATCCGCTCTCCTGTGAGCCCGGCTCTGGGACAGTCACGGCTGGCTGCAGAGCTTGGCTTCACGACAGCTCCAACAGGAACAGCGACAGGAAACACAGGCCTTTGAGCTCTGCTCATGTTTGTAAACTCTCTGTCCGAGGGCAGCTTCCTGGCCTGGCCCTGCTGGAGATGCTGCCAGAGCAGATCCAGGGCAGTGAGGCCAGACACAGCAGTGTCCTCGCGTGTATTCCTGCCCCGGGGACAGCGGGCCCAACGGGGGCGTCTCTGCTGCGAGGGGCATCCCGGCCCCATCTCCTGCCACGAGCCAGCAGCTCACCCTGATACTCCTGCCCTGCGACAAGCTGCATCTCTGTCCCCATCCCAAGCACAGCCCAGATGTGGCTCCAAGGCTCCCAGGGAGCCACCAGGCTCTTTTCAGGTAGCAGCACCAGGTAGAGGAAATGCAACAGTGGCAGGACCCCTAATGCCACCAGACCGAGATCTCCTAGATAAAACTGGTCCTTCCTGGCATGCACAGGGGTCAAAAGGGAAGGAAACAGCCATGTGATTTCCCTTTCCCTCTCTAGGAAGAAATCAAGCTGACAGTCCTGGGTCTCCATAGCTAAAAGTGGGAATACTTGGCTGGCTCTCGCTCCGGCTGCTCTGCAGTCCCCAGCATGAGGGCAAGAAGCCTCTGACAGGAGATGCCAGAGGGACCGGAGCCAAGGCAGCAGCAAGTCACACAAGCTGCCTCGTATCCAAGCCATAACCCGGGAGCAAGGAAGCCTCTATGGACGCATAAGAGCGCCTGGACGCTGCTCCCCGGCGCAGAGACTGGGGATGTCCCTCAATCCACAGCCCCACTTGTGTCTGTGGCCTTCGAGCTCTCTCTACCACAGAGCTCCCAAGCTCAAGGTCCCCAGGCCACAGGGTCTCTTGGCCTTTACCAGAGTGGGACCCCCTGCTTATTCACCCTGGATGCTCTTTCTGCAGTTCAATGGGGCAGCTCTTGGACCCTCACCAACTGCTGGGGCCTCAATCCAGAACCAAGCCCTTCCCGACAAGCTCCACATTGGACAGGCGACCACGGAAGGACATTCCAACTCCCGCCTGAAGGGACAGGCCCCCATTATCTGCTGCTCTCATCTCTCCCTCGTGCCAGCCAGCCAAGCAGGTGACACCCAGGGCATCCCTGCCAGCGGGGCTGGAGGTGCCGCTGATAAGGATTCAGGTCCTGTTCAGCAGCATCAGCACAGAGAGAACTGAGGCCTGTGGCTCTGCAGGCAGCTGCTACGGTGGCAGCTGTAGGGATTCATCACCCGGGCAGAGATGGGGAAAGGGATCGGCCCGGGAGAGGCACAGGAGGCAGCTCAGGGGACCTGCAGCTTCAGCACTGACCTCCAGCACTAATGGCTGCACAGGCTCAGAAAGGCTCTGGAGCCTCCCTGGAAGCAACTCCTGGAAAGAACGGCAATTCCTCAACGCTTGCGGGGGGACTCAAGGCCCAAGAGGGTCCCCGGCCCCACCACCTGGACGGTGCCCTGCTCCTGCCCCAGCCCAGCTCCTACCTGAGTCCCCGTCCCCTGCTCACACCCAAGCCTGGATGCAAGAGGCAGCTCAGGAGCTGGGACCCCGACAGACTTTGTCACCAGCAAAGACGGGGCCTACTTGGCCACCATGGGGAAGCCCAAGGAGGTCCCCAAAAAGGGACATCTCAAGCGCACTCAGCAGTGTAAGGAGTGGCTCCAAGGGAGCTCGCCAGGGAGGCACTCAGGGAAAGGCCCAGGAAGGGGATGAAAGGAAGAGGCCGCTCGCGCAGGGCCCAGCCGGAACCCCGAGGGGCCCGTGCGGGGCATCCCCGCCGGACAAGGCCACTGTTGGGAGAGGGGGGGACCACAAAGCCACCCCCGGAGCCCAAGGCTGCCCCGTCC